CCCCCAGCAGTGTTCGCCTCCCACTCCTCCACCAGCCTGGCTTACCCCAGCCTGTTTTCTCACAGGGGAGCAAAGTCCAGCAGTAACATCTCAGACCATAAACTGCTTTTGGCTTGTTTACTGAACTGCAATGAAGGGCTAGACTGTGTACAGGAGTGTTTTAAAGAAATACCCGCCCCCCGCCTCCCAGCGAACCACTCCTGAAAGTTTAGCTAGTTTTACAGCTAGGTACACTTAAAGTATGAACTTGGTCAAGGCGAGGAGAAGCGGGCTGGGAAGGCATGTTAGGCATCCAGAAACAACATTTTGCAAAGGTCTTGGAAAATTGTTCGGTGAAGGGAACTGCTTTTCAAGATCACAGAGCCCCTGAGTTTGTGCTGCACACTTACTCATGCTAGACTGTGTACAGGAGTGTTTTAAAGAAATACCCGCCCCCCGCCTCCCAGCGAACCACTCCTGAAAGTTTAGCTAGTTTTACAGCTAGGTACACTTAAAGTATGAACTTGGTCAAGGCGAGAAGCGGGCTGGGAAGGCATGTTAGGCATCCAGAAACAACATTTTGCAAAGGTCTTGGAAAATTGTTCGGTGAAGGGAACTGCTTTTCAAGATCACAGAGCCCCTGAGTTTGTGCTGCACACTTACTCATTCGATGAAAACTTGTTTTCCGACACATTGCAAAATAGTTACTGGATTTGGAAGAAACTCTGTGTGCCTGGAGTCTGCTAAATGTGGCATTTCTGTAATGGCTTAAATCATAAGTTTGCAAGATTACCTTTCTGAGCACATTTCCTTGGATGTACAGATGGTAACATTGTGTACCATTGCATTTCTATCTTTAAACCGCCACCTCCGTTGCCCAGAGGTGTGCTGTTAACTAGCCAAGGAGGAAGCGTCTTTTGTAATTTTGGTCCCTCGTTTCTCTCTCTGTATTTGTATGTAATATAAAATAGAGAGAAAGTCTTGCTGTGACAGGCCATGGGAAAGATCTGCTGAAAATCCATGACAAGTTGCAGCGATGGTGTGCATATGCGGTAGATATTTGGAGTCGCTCTCTGCTACTTAAGCTCTCTTTGCCATGCAGCCCCTGACGTGATGATTGCACACCCTGCCAAACAATTCAATAAAAAGCCTAACTTGAAAGGAAGCTGTGGCAGAGTTATATTTTTGCTGTGCTCACATGGTGATAAATTACAAAAGCTGCCGAGTCTTTAACACTCAACAGTAGATGAAGAGTTGCCTTGTATGGGCATTGTTTGATGAGTTTTAACTTGGGAAATAATTATTGCCGAATGTGTCCTTGACAGTGAGTGCACACCATGAGTGTTCTTTACACAATATACATAAACATTAAATCTCTGTTTAAGTGGGCCTAAATACTCATATTTTTCACTCCTTTTCCTTAGAGGAGTTCACCACCAGTTGGAAAAACGAAGGGCATTGTCTTTGGTCTTGGCTCTAGGTTGGTGTTTTGCATGGGCATAACTGGTCCGTGCTCATGTGGGCCACTGGCAGCAGCTGCTTTCCAGGCTTTGTTTTCATTCCTCTGTATGCCGTGGTTGTAGCACTGTTGTGTTTTGAAGCTGTTGTCTGATGGTGCCATGCTTCGGGGTCTGTCCTTGGAGATGTAAGCAGTTCCCAACACCACAGCTGCTCACTGAAGGGGCGTGTGATGGATCCATCACCCTAGAGGGCGATGGGACGCTGGGATGTTGCGTTGCTCTCCCTGCAAATTCAGGTGTGGGTTGAGTCCTGTGGATGGATGCTCAACGGATCAGCTCTGCTAGCTGATTTAAAACAAAGGCTAGACATGAGATTTCTTGCAAACCGTGTTAGTGCCTGTTGCTTTGCTTAAGTGAGGATATATTCTCAGGCATGTGGAGGTGGTAAAGACAACCCTCCCCATGGGAAAACAGGGGCCCCAGGGTCTTCCAGTGACTTTCCCTTGGTATCTCCCACTGTGGTGTAAGAAAACTGCAAGAAAAGCAGCCCACAGCCCTAAACTTCGCGTTTTTTAACACTGGGTAACACAGTGCATCCTCCTATGATTAGCACTGAGTAGCCGGAGCTCGTCAGCTCCAGACAGAGCTAATTCTTGATCACAAGCCAAGACCACATAGTGCTGACATGACTGAGAAATATCTTCCATAATTAGATTGCTTGGTCATTCATTTTTGAATGTCTGAGTTGCATTTTGGAGCATAATTTCTTACTGATGAACCAAATGGGATCGGTTCAAGCTTGATTTACTGTCAGTAGTGTTCTCCTTGCTTGCCTTTGCACGAGTGTCCCAGGGAGGCACCGTGCAAATCTGGGACGAGGGGGATCGAAGAAAAATTATTTTGCTCTGTAACGTTAGGTGGGATGGTAACTTTAGTTTAATAGTATAAATAGATATAAAACTGTTACTTGTATTTGTGAAATACATTGGGCTTTTAGTTTTTAATCATAAATAAATTGGAGTAGTTGTAAAAAAAACCCACTGTTTTAGGGATCCAAGGGTATCTGTGGACAACTTCAGAAGTGTCTGCAAAGTGTAACTAGGAAAGGAAATCCCACTATCGGTAGGTTTGAATTTGCCAAGTAGGGTAGAGGCTTACCTCTCCAACACAAACGAGTGGGAAGTATGTAAGTCGTAACCACCAAAGGCAGGCATGCATCATGGAAATGGTACTGAAATAATGAAGCGTGTTTCAGGTAACGTATTTGCAACATATTCCCCATAATTCAGAAAAAAAACCCTGTTTCAACACTTTTAAAATGAAATTGTTTTGACACTGTAAAACTAGCCATTTCTCTAGCTGCAATTACTGCTTTGCTGCTTTTTATTTGTTTCCCGTTGTGTCAAAGAGCCTTAGTCCTGAATTGGAACCAGAGCAAAGAGATCCGAAGTGAAATGAAGTGCTGGCGCTTGGGCACTTTCTTTTTTTTTTAATGCTTGCTAGTAAGGCAGGCTAATAGAGGAGTCCCCAAGTGTGCTTCAGGATGGATTTGGTGGGCAGGATCCAAAAATCCTGGGTGCACCTTTTCCTCTCTTCTAAATGACTTCTCAAGCTAAATGGAGCTGCATCCCTCAGTGCTGCACCCCTTAATGCTGTGTGTTTGCCGCTGGAGGTGCTCCTCTGAGACGGGAAGAAATAGAGTCCATGAAAGGAAAATATATCTGTAAGGAGACAGCGAGATTTTTCGGTGTTTTCTGAAGGCTGTGCCTAAGCAGTGCTGCTTCCCGTAACAGACTTTGAGCTTTCCGTAATTCAAGAGCAGTGGACGGCTTTGTGCAATAAATTAGCTGTGGCAGAATTATCTGTTGGTCAAGGTCTCTCTGTAATGCCAGGGAAAACAAACAAACAAACCCTGTAACTCAAAAGGAAAATAGATTTAGAGGAGAGGTTCTTAGGAATTATAGATAGATAGATATAAAAATATTTATATCTTATTTTAAAATGGTCCTTAAGTGTCTGAAAGGAGAGATAACTAACATTTCTGGGCTAGAAGGTCATGCAAAGTGATGCAAAGGTTCGCTAGCTGGGCAAATGATGTTATGAGATCTTGCACAAGGCAGGCAGAGAAGCAACCGCTCATGTTAGAGCAGGCTTTGTTTTGCACTGTGCAAAAATTGCTTTTGTTTCTCTAAACCCACTTCTGGTGCTCTAGCAGGTAGGATGGCTCTTCAGTAAGTGCCTGGTTCATAGCTTGTCGTGAAGAGGTTATTTTCTGTGCAGGGGGCTGACAAGTCCTTTGCAGCTCTCGCTGTGAGTCTCTGAACCTTGGTGGTGGTTGGAGGTTGTTGGCGGCTTCTAGGGTGCAAGCAGGTAGGGAAGAGCCTTCGCTTCTCCATCTGCTTCCTTGGGCTGAAGGATAAGGTTTGGCAGTGGGGTGTGAAATGGGAGAGAAGGCAGCAGCTTACATGTAGGCTGTGTCTTTTAAAATACTGTCTGACTTGGAAGGATGAGTTTCTCATCCTAACTGCTTGTTTTGATCATATCTTCAGCGTTGACAAAGATTTGCACAATTTGCCCAAGTTTAAACCGCTTCAGCATCAGCCTGCCTGCCTGTGATGGTGCTGTGGTGTGGGACCTGTCGGAGAAGCTGGAGCTGAGGATTGCTACGCAAAGAGTTTGTCATGGCCAACAAAACCTGACAGCAGTGTTTTATTGGTGGTGCTAGAAGGGGACAGCTTCATCCTGCACTGCAATGAGATGCTCTAAAAGCGTTGTATAGGGCCAGATCCTGTGCCCAGATTGTCTGTGAAATTTTGAAACGGAGCTATGGTAGATACGGAAGCACTGTTATGATTCCTCTGACCAAACCAGCTTGAGCCAGATGTCTTTTAGGAGAGAATTATCCTTCAGGGTGAAGGAAGAAAAATCTGTTTGAATTCTCCAAAAACAAGCACTGAATTTTGCCCAGGATGATGACAGAAAACTGTAAAATTAGGAGCTGGGAAATATAAAGCATTTTCATGAGCTGTTGCATAAAGCAAGTATATTTTAATATCGGTAATAACTGTTACTGAGAGAGATTACTTCTCTTGTGATAATTGGAGGTGGGAGGTGAAGAAAAAAGGATTTATCTTGGTGCAAAAAGGACCATTGCCATTGATATTGTGTTGTGTGTTAACCGAATGAATTGGAAGTAATTAAAATACTCGGCAAAAACTTCATGAAAGATAGCATAGTATATACAGGTCAATTTGCTGGTTCTTCAAATTATGCTGTGCAAGATGAGTATCTGTTTATTCCATTTATTAACTGAATAAATAAGAGGACATTTTTTAATATTGTTGCAGAAAGACAAGGCGTGGTATTTACATGTGTTGCTATAAAGTTCCTCTACAGAATCAGGTTTTGATGTGCCTGGTCCAGCGCTTGCAGTGAGGGGGGGTCTCCTTGGGAGGAGATGGTGCTGCGGGTCCTTGCACCCCCTGCCTCGCAAGCCAACCTCTTTGCCCTTGCACAGAGAATCCTTTTAACTCGGGGTATTTTCTTCTCTGCTTTTCAGGTGACCACTTGAAAGTCTGCTCGCAAGGCTACACATGCTGCTCTCAAGAAATGGAGGAGAAGTACAGTCAGCAGAGTAAACACGACTTCAGAAATGCCGTCGTAGAGCTTAGCAATCACTTACAAACCATGTTTAGTTCCCGATACAAGAAGTTTGATGGTAAGTGCAGAGACCTTGAACTTTCTCTCCTTGGGATAAAATGCAAAAAATTCCCATCCTGTTGTTCTCTGTGCAGTTGTTCTGCTCTGCCTCCCCCTTTGCTGGGGAAGTTCATGACTCATGGCTTGGAGGGCAGAGCATGCCTTGTTTTGCAATCTTGTGAGAGAGAAATATTTGCTGATTAAGGCTGCTTGTTTCCCAAAGAAAGAGATCTTTCTTTCTGATTAATCTTTTGAAAAAACATTTTGCTCTTAATGTGAGATTGCAGTTAGTTTTGTTGGTGCATCCCTGCAGCATGTGTAATTGTAACAAGCGCATCTTGCAACCCTGATCCACAAAAATTGCTTTCCCAGCGTGTTGTGAACCAACAGGATTCATACCCATCTCACTTAGCCTTTGGGGCTAAGCAGAGCAGCAGATAAATACGAGCTGGTTTTGTGTGAAGGCTGAGGGTTCAAGTGTGATGCAGGGTCAGAAGCAAAATGAATGAAGTCTCGGCTGAGTTCCCATGGCTCGAGTGACACTAACTGCCGACTGGTAAGCAAATGACTGGTCTCGGCATTGCCCTCGGGACATGGATCCGCAGCAGTGTCCTGTCAGACTGGGTCTCCATAGGGCATGCCCGGCTCATGGGAGCCTCAGGAAGAAACTCCCTCCGGAGGCAGCTGGCATACACCCTTCCAGTGTTGCCCACCTTGCAGCCAGGCACCTTTCTTTTGAGAACCCTTTGTACATCCCTCTTGCAAACAGCTGAAGTCGGTGCCCAGGCACCGGGCACAGCATCTATCTAAGGTCTGAGCAGCATCTCTTGGTTTTGCTGCTGATTGCTTGGTCGTGGCAGTTCCCATGGGGCTCTGCAGGTGTCTCAGTGCTCCTGGTCACTGCGGCCCCTGTGCCTGGGCATCCCCAGGAGGGAGGAGCACGGCATCAGGCTCCTCTCTGGGTTGTCCTTGTTGGGGAATGAGGTGACGCCCAGTTGCACATGGAAATATCTGAAGAGTCAGGTGGACTGCGTTGCTGAGACTTTTGTTCTGCTCGTACATTGTCATCGCCGACTGGTAGTAGAGGGCAGTTCCACCGCACAGCTCCTCTGGACCTTTTTCTCCCTTGTTCAGTCATTGGTTCACCATGGATATTCTTCTGATATCCCGAAGTCTGTTCCTTGAACCTCCCAGGGACCTCCCTTTACTCTGCTGCAGCAGGTAGCAACCCCTTTCTTTCAAAAGGGGTTGGCACTCAGGTGAGCGAAAAAGTCCCTGAGTATGAAATTGCAGTGAGTCAAAGTGGAATTACGCAATCATCTTGATAGCATCTAAATCTGCTAGCTAAATATTTCCTTCTTAACCTCTGTTGTCTCTACCTGCTGGTACACCAAAGGGGTGATAGAGAGAGAACCAAAGTGTCTAGACTTGCAAGCTTATTAAATGCAGAACAAGACACTTAATGAAATCCAGCCCATAGATAAGCCCTTTCAAAGAGACCAGAGGAACAGCATCTGCTTCACCTCAAATGAACGACGAGGCTTTTTGAAATGCAGCATTGAAAACAAAGCATGCACGGTTCACTGTATTAGCATCCCTGACGTGGTGTAGACGTATTGCTAGGTGTGTCTGCCCGTTTGTAGGGTGAGAGATGGCTGCAGGGCTGCATGACGGCAAGGAGATATTAAGCTAAGCTGAGCTGGATATCTGTCAAAGCACAAGGCTTCAAAATGGGTGAGCTTTGATAGGGAGCCCTTTACGAGCTGTTTTGTTTGTGCTGCATGGTTCTTCCGTCAGCCCCTTGCAGCGTGCCCTGTGCTTGTCTCATCCTGATCTTAGCCCTCGGAGTCCTTCACAGGCAAATCTGGAAGGGGATGGTGTGATCCTGTTGCTGGAAGCTGGATTTACTGTGCCCAGCCTGTCCCTGAAGGGTGTTTCTCTGCCCGGTACGAAACTAATGAAGGAGAATTAGCAACCTCCTCGGCTTGTCCCAAAGCCTAATGGCCCCATCTTTGAGCATTTGCTGATACCAGATCTCAGTCTTCATTTGCTGCATACAAAGCTGATTTAGGGATTATTATTTTTTTTTTTTTTTTAGATTAACTGATTACCATCCTCCATCATTTACCTCTTGGAAGACTTTTAATCATGATTGCCCTTCTCCCTCCAGCCCAGTCACCTGGAGGCTGAAGGCACCCCCTCTTCAGCAGCATTCTTGCTGGTGGCTGGGGCAGCTTGGGGAGTCTCCGGTCCGAGGTTCTCAGACTCTGCCTGAGGTTGCTATGGTAGTTTTGTTGGTTTTGTTTTTAAGAGCCTCCTGTTGAGTGATCGGCTGCTTGTGGTTTGGTGTTTCCTTCCTTTGGTCCTGGTGCTTGGTTATTGGGTCAGCTGTGGTCTGTTCTGCCTTGCATGTTTGAGTTGTCCTTGTCCAACATAATTCTTCCCACTTTTTTTAGTGTAATGTGCCCAACCTAGAGGAGAGGGAGGTGATCAAGACCCACGTATTTGTCCTGATCTTTAGGTATGAGATTGGAAAAGCACGCGATCCCTTCCAGAGCTCTTCCTTTGCATGGGCCCATGCTCTGATTTTAGCATTTGCAGCTCTTTAGGGCTGCCTCATTGATAGTAGCTAAATCCATTCAAATGAAAACAAAGCTGACACAAAATGAGCCATGTACCTTCCTCTGTTTAATGAGAAATCCTCTGCACAGCAGCTGTGTACAGGGACTGAGCAGGCAAGATGAGTTGCTGCAGAGACTGGATTCACTTCACTTAACTGGTCTCCCAGCAAGTGGGACGAACGCTCCTCTCACAGGGTGATGCATCCGCATGCTGCAAAAGGCCACTCCAGGATGCAGCTCAAGCAACAAACTGTGTCCTCCAGCTCTTTCAAAATCGTTGTTGCAGGTTCTCTGGCTGCTAATCTCTCAGCCTTGACATTCAGGTCCAAGAGGAGAGGCAAACCCGTGCTGCCTCCCTTACGTGCTTGACCTTTGCAGCAGTTGCCACTGCTAAAGGACAGTCGAAGTGGCGGCACGTCCTTTGGATGGAGGCTGTGATGCCCCGTGGCGTTTGGAGCCTTTGCATCAGCTGTTGCCAGAGCGCTGTGTGCCGTTGGAACTGTTGACAGAATTGCTCTGATCTGACACCAAAGCTGTACAGAAATGTATTATCTCCTCTTAATCAGGAACATGGAACAAGCTGCTGATTATCCATCCCCAAAGGGATGACCAGAAGTCATTTTGGCTCCTCTTGCGTAATGTGACAGAGTCAGATCCTCCTGCGCGTGTTTGGTTTGCAGACATTGGGAGAAGACTGGAGCTTGGGAGTCCCGTATCTTACATATCCTGTCTAAATATTTGCTTACAGTACGGCTCTGTATGCTCCTGGGGGTCTCTCCAGTTGTAATTTAAACAACTAGTCCAATCCCAGCGTGGCAGTAAGGGATATATTTTCAGCAGTAAGGGAAATGCTTCTTTAATAAAACAAAAAATACTTTGGGAGTTGTCAGATTCCCCATTGCTAGATGTTCTTAAGGTAAAGATTTGCTGTTTTTTCTGGCACACATGACCTCAGATACATGTTTACAGGCTTCACTGAGAAATTCATGGGTGAGATTCTCTGGCCATGTAAGTGGTTCCCTCCGTGACAATGACAGCTGTGGGAAAGGCACAGAGCTGTGCAACTGCGATGACATCTCATGCCACAGACGTGCTTATAGCAGTCAGGGCTTTAAAGAAAAAAGAAAAAAAAGAAGTCTCTGTGTTTGTGTGTGTGTGTTTAAAATCTCCTTTGCCTTGTCTCATCTTCACCAGTTAGTGACCTCCCCTTCCCTCTCCTAGGGATTAATAACATTAATAGGATTAATGGTGACATTAAGACTGCATAAATGCTTGGTCCCATTTATTAAACTCGAACTTTCACCTCTTCTGCCTTTTCCGGCTGAAGTTTTCCATGCCGGCGTCTGTGCTAGCCAAGCAATGCTTTGGGGAAATTGCTCAGCTGTTTTGAGGAACTGGAGCAGGGACAGGACATAGCCCATAACTCTTCTTCAGCGTTTCCGCTATTCTCTTGCTAAGAACATCTTGCTAAGATCAGATGTTCTTAGATTTTCTTATTAAAGACACCTCCTGAATCTCTCAGAAGATGTAACTGTTGTGCCAGGCCTTTTCTGGGGGGAGAAATGGTGGTGGTTTGGTTTTGGTTTTTTTTTTTTTTGTTTGTTTGTTTTTAATAGGCTGGTTGCAAGGTGATTAGGGCAGACAGAGCCCAAGCCCCTGTCAGCAGAGGGGCTGCTGAGCCTCTGCCCTGCGGGGCCCAGTCCGGCAAGCGACTGCTTGTTCTCCTGCCCCTGCGTTTCACAAGCGCTTTTGCTGTTGCACTTAAACCAAGTCTTGTCCCTTTCTTCTGCATGCTCTGGATTTAGGGAAGGCAAGGAAGCTTCTGCAACTCTTGTTGTACAGGAATGATATATACAGGAGACAAATGTGAGATGGTCCATCCCCGGGCTGGGCTGGCAGTAGGTTTGGTGTTCTCGATGCCCAAGTGACAGAAGGATTTGTACAAAATGGCACAGCCCAAGCCAGCATCTGGGAAGCTATTAAATGCCGAGAGTCCCGTTTCCGATCCGCTCCCCCTGACTTTTCCGTTAGCATTTAAGTTAAAACAAATATAGAAGTGTAAAACGAAACCCCTTTGGGACAATGAGCAGGAAGAAACCGAACCCAGGCAGCAGGAGCCGGCCAGGGGTCCCTGAGGCCGTGGTGCACCCACCCCTTTGCAGTGTGGGGACTGGGCAGGGGGTCTGGAGAGGGACCCCTGTTTGTGGGCTCCATGTCTGTGTTGGGCAAAGTAGCCACAGGTATAACGCGTGGTCATGGCCTGCGTCTTTGAAGCATCCCAGGGTGCCCTTGATCTTCTAGTGCGAGCCCTGTTGTTACTCCTGGGTGCACAAATTACTTCCAATAACTGGGTTGTGGCTGAGTCAGAGCGACTAGTTGTGGGGGCATTGGCCAAATA